TTATTGATGTCTAGTAGGATTTCTTTTGTTTTCCTGTTAATTAGCACTAGATGCTCTGTTATTACTTTGTATTCTTCTTGAAGGATTCTATTTAGATATAATTAAAGATTTTTGAACTATAAATTTTTTCCCTATATTGTGCAAGTATTGTCGACTTCTCTGAATGAGATTACATTTGTGATGATGTATAGGAATATGACGCAAGCTAGGACAATTAGGAAATTAAGGCGAGAGATTGATGAGTTGAAACATACCTTGGCTGGTCAGGCTACACCTCCAGCTCTAACAATCCCACCAGCACAGCCGGTGCCACTAGTATATCCACATATATCGTCTATTCCAACTGTAAAACAGTTTCGTAGATATCAACCCCCTACCTTTGATGGCAGGAAACACCCTCTAGCAACTGAAGAGTGGTTGCATACTATTGAGAAGATCTTTCGGCACATCTCTTGCTAGAAAATTAAAATGTATTATGTGCCGAGTTTATGCTAGTTGGAAGAGCAAGCCATTGGTGGAAATCCACATCACGTACTCGCACCAAGGAGGAACAACATAATTTAACTTGGGACCAATTCAAAATGGAGCTAACAAAATTTTTTTTCCCACAAGCTCTACAAGACTATAAGGAGGCAGAATTCTTAAGACTGGTACAAGGGGATATGAAAATTTCTGACTATGAGAGCAAGTTTGAGAAATTGTCCCGACATGCCCCATATCTTGTAAGTACTGAGCTCATGAAGGCAAAATATTACGAGAGGGGCCTGCGCCCAGAGATCAGACAGATTGTGTGTTCACAAGATCTCACCACTTTTGAGGTAGTTGTGAAGAAAGATCAAATAGTAACCTATCCGAGAGTGAAGTTGGTAAATCATGGACAACATAATGACTTTGGAAAAAGAAAGTGGCATGATAAGAATAAGAATTCTGAATAGTTTAAGAAGCAGACACTTGTGGGCCAGTCAAGTAATCCTTCATCCCAATGTCCTAAGTGTAACAAGCTTCACAGAGAGGAATGTCTGTATGGAAAGTATGCTTGCTATAAGTGTGGCCAACCTGGCCATATGGTTTCCTCATGTCCATCGATTAAGAAACTCGAACAAGAGAAGAAAGGAAAAGCAAGGGTGTTTGCTTTGACTCATGACGAGGCTACCCAAAATTCAGACGTAATAGCAAGTATTTTATTCATCTCTGGTACTCCGGTTTATGTCCTTATTGATTCTAGTGCAACTCATTCGTTCATATCTAATACATGTCTAGCTAAGATTAATGCTTCATGTAAGAAGAATAATAATGTACTAGAGGTTAGTATGCCATTAGGGGGAACTATTGATACAAATAGGATAACAATGGGGGTACAGATAAATTTTGATGGACTGACTTTAGAGGCTGACTTGTATGTTATAGAGATGAAAGACTTTGATATTATTTTAGGCATGGATTGGTTAGGAGAAAATCGAGCCACGATAGTTGTTTTGAGAAAGAGGTTATCTTTCAAAGAACAGGAGAAGAGGAATTCAGATTTTATAGATTGAAGGTTAAGGCACTTCCTTGCTTCATCTCAGCTTTGAAGGCAAAAAAAATGTTGAGGAAGTCTGACTGCCAGAGGTATCTTGTCAGTCTTATCAACATCTCGTCTCAAGAGAAAATATTGGATGACGTGCCAATAATACGGCAGTATGCCGACATGTTTCTAGATGATTTACTTGGTATTTCGCCCGATGGACAAGTAGAATTCACGATAGATCTGGTACTTGAAGCTACTCCTGTGTCCAGAGCTTCATATCGAATGACACCAAAGAAATTGCAAGAGTTGAAGAAGTCGCTAGAAGAACTTCTAGACAAAGGGTTTATTAGACCAAGCGTATCTCCATGGAGAGCTCCAGTACTTTTTGTAAGGAAGAAAGATCAAACTATGAGGTTGTGCATCAATTACCGTGAATTGAATAAGTTGATGATCAAAAATAAGTATCATCTTTCTAGGATTGAAGACCTATTTGATCAATTGAAGGGCGCATCCGTATTCTCAAAAATCGATTTAAGGTCGGGCTACCATAAACCGAAGATTAAATCGGTTGATATACCAAAGACGGCATTTAGGACTCAGTATGGGCATTATAAGTTTATGGTGATGCCCTTTGGCTTGATGAATTCCCCTTCGATATTTATGGACTTGATGAATGGAGTGTTTCATCAGTATTTGGACATGTTTGTCATCGTATTTATTGATGACATACTGATATACTCGAAAGATTCTCAACAAAACGAAGAACATTTGAGGATAGTTTTGGAAACCTGCGTGAGGAGAAGCTGTATGCCAAATTCAAGATATGTGAATTTTGGCTGGACTGAATGGGATTTCTAAGCTATACTGTTTCAGCACGAGGAATTGAAGTGGATCAATCCAAAGTTGAGGCCATAACCAATTGGCTGAAACCTAAAAACGTTGGAGAAATGCGAAGTTTTCTACGGTTAGCCGACCATTATCGGCGAGTTATAGAAGGATTCTCCAAGATTGCCGGTCCTATGACATAGTTGACTCGAAAGGGTGCTAAGTTCGTATGGTCGGAGAAATGAGAATAGAGTTTTCAAGATTTAAAAGATAGGCTCGTATCTGTGTCGATTTTGACTATTCCCGATTGTTCAGAAGGTTTTGTGATTTATAGTAACGTATCGAAGCTTGGTTTAGGATGTATTTTGATGCAACATAGGAAAGTGATAGCTTATGCTTCGAGACAGTTGAAGCAATATGAACAGAATTACCCCACGCATGATCTTAAGCTAGCAGCGGTAGTGCACGTCATGAAGATTTGGCGCCACTATCTATATGGGAGCAAGTGTGAGATCTACATCGATCATAAGAGTCTCAAATGCTTCTTTACCCAGAAGGAGTTGAATATGAGACAGCGACGGTGGTTAAAATTAGTGAAAGATTACGACTGCACTATCTCGTACCATTTGGGTAAGGCTAATGTAGTTGCTGATGCACTAAGTAAAAAGAACATGGGACACTTGTCAGCACTGTGTATTGGATCATTTAATAAGAGATTTTGAGAACCTGAGAATTGAAGTATTAACTTCACTAGTAAGGACTTCAGCAAAGTTAGTAAGTTCTATTTTGAAACCGACACTGAGGGACAGAATAGTAGCTGCTCAGAAAGATGATCCCTTTTTGGAAAAGGTCATGGCTGATGTGGGAACTGAGAAGAGGAAAGGATTTGAAATAGTCAAAGACAAATCCTTGATGTTTAAGAGTCGATTGTGCGTGCCAAAGCATGAAGTGTTGAGACATGAAATTATGACTGAGGCTCACTCAACTTCTTATGCCGTACACCCAGGCGAAACTAAAATGTATCAAAATTTGCGTAACACATTTTGATGGAGAAATATAAAGGGGAAGATAGCTCTGTTCGAGTCCAAACGCATGGTTTTTCAACAGGTGAAGGTTGAACATCAGAGGTCGTCGAGACCGTTAAACCCCATGGACATACCTGAATGGAAGTGGAAAAGATTGCAATGGATTTATCATTGGTTTTCCTAGATCAGTGAGAGGTCATGATACGATCTGGGTGATTTTGGATCAATTTACAAAATCTGCTCATTTCTTACTAGTTCGGACAACCTACAGCTTAGAACAGCTCGCACAAATTTATGTCAGGAAGATTATGCGGCTTCATGGTGTTTTGGGATTTATCGCATCAGATAGAAACCCGAGGTTTACTTTGAAGTTTTGGATGATAAGTCTTCAGAAATCTATAGGTACCAAGTTAACATTTAGTAATGCATACCATCCTCAAACTGACGGACAAGCTGAACGAACTATACAAGTTCTTGAAGATATGTTGAGAGCTTGTGTCCTAGATTTGGGTGGTAAATGGGAAGATCATTTGCCATTGGTTGAATTCGCATACAAATAATAGCTTTTAGGCTACAATTGGCATGACACCATATGAAGCTTTGTATGGTAGACATTGTCGTTCACCATTATATTGATGAAGTTGGTGAAAGGAGAATTTTGGGTCCAGAATTGGTTGAGAAGAATGTGGAGGCTATATAAAATTAGATCAAGAATCAAGACTGCCCAAGATCGTCAAAAGAGCTATGCTGACAAAATGAGAAAAGAATTGACTTTTGAAGTTAGAGAGAAAGTATTTCTCAAGGTCGCGTTGATGAAGAGAAAACTACAATTTGGAAAGAAAGGAAAGTTGAGTCCTAGATTTATCGGTCCATTTGAGATTCTTGAAAAGATTGGGAATGTGGCATATCGATTAGCATGGCCACCCGAACTATTAGCAGTTCACAACGTATTTCACATTTCTATGTTGAGAAAGTACATTTCGGATCCTAATCATGTGGTAAATGTTCAATTTGATATGACGTACGAGGAAGCTCCCACAGTGATTCTAGAGAGAAAGGACCATGCTCTGAGAAATCGAAAAGTTCTTCCAATCAAAGTCCAATTGAGTAAACATGGTGAGGATGAGGTTACTTAGGAAAGAGAAGAGGACATTTTAGCCATGTACTCCGATCTCCTTAAAACAAGTAAGTTAAATTTCAATGATGAAATTATTTTAAGTGGGGGAGAGTTGTAGCGACCGAAAAAAAATGTTTTGTTTCGTTTCAAGATAAAACTTCCCTGTATAACTCGAATATAATTTGGGCTATATTATTACGTCACTACAACCCTTCCTTAAGAGTTCAAATTAAAGTTTTGGTCACATAGTAAAGTTTCGCGTACTTTTTAAAAAAAAAAAATTGTAAGGGATTAAACCCTCTTTTAGACGGCAAATTTTTATTTGTTACATTATTTTCACGACACTTTATATTAATTGCTACCTATATTAAGTCCTTAAAAATTTAAGTTTTTATGCACTTATTGTTTATGCTAAACAACTCTTAAACATGATTTTGTCCTTCCAATGACTCCCATTTTTTTAGCCACGTTAAAATTTTTTTTTTCTCTCAACCTATCAAGCTAAATTTTTTTTCCTTAGGCACCCTACTTAAATATGTCACTCACCCACTAAGTGCATGACCACCCCCATCACTAACTATTTTAAATCCCAATTTCAGTCAACTGCCTACCCACCTTCATATTGCTACTGACAAACATTAATTTTTCCAAATACCACTTTGATTTCCATTTGGTAAATTGCCACAGTTTTCTTGAAATGTCAACTACACTTTTATATACACATTTATGCACCTAATTAACAGTTCACTACCATTGTTTAACCATACTTTTGTTAACTGGCCAGTGCCCTTTTTTATGTTTGTTAACTGCCAATCCATTTCATTTAGAGTGTGTTTGATTGACATGGAAAATATCACCTAGAAAAGAAAATATTTTCCATCTTTTGTGGAAAATAAAAACCACCTCTACCCAAGGAAAATATTTTTCTTAAAAACAAGGAAAATTAGGCATATTTTCAAAAGTTGGAAAATGTTTTCCATGGAAAAAAATAGCAATCAAACACTCCAAGTAGGAATTTGGATGAAAAACTGATATTTTCCATGGAAAATAAATGTAATCAAACACACCTTTATTATTTGAAAAATGTTAATTAGCCTCATGCCATTTTGATACCATAAATTGCCATTTAGGTAATTAAAAAGTCTATAACCTCTCCACTTTCAATTGTAACCTCCATGTTTTAAAACCCCCCACGTACATATCTTTATAACTCCATTTTTTTAAATGCATTACCAATACCACTTCAATGGAGATTTAAGAGAAAACCCGTCCCATTAGAATTTAAAAGTCATAGACTTGTTTTGAAAACCAAATTTCAATTCCTTTAGCCACATTTTTCTCCCAAACTATTATATATATACATAAACATATTTTGCCCATTTTCCCATAAACTAAAGTACCTTGAATCTGAAAATTCTTTGAAGAGGACGCTAAAAGTACGCTGCATTTTATTTCTTTGGATACGAAAGGGTATTCAAACTCCAAGCATTAAGGTAGAAGTGTTTCGGCGCTTTTGTAAGTGATGTAAGAGTTATATGTTTTCGTTTACGTTAAACTTGTTATGGTGTTACTTATGAGAATCACCGTTTGGTAGTTTACATGAGATATGAAGAGATGATTGTGATAAATGAAATGAGGTTATCAAAACCTACAAGTAAGCAGACTGACTGATCACCGTTTTGCTTGAAATTGATGGTGACACAATCGAACAAAGTTTGCATTTCTGAAAATATATATTTTTATCATTTATTTAAGTGATTTCTACTGAGTATTATTTATAGTATTCATCCCTACAAACAATTTTACAGGCTAAGATCGAAGCATGATAGTGGTTGGCATAGTGGCAAGTGTTCGGCGATTTGAAATGCTTTCAATTTCTAGTAAAAATTTCCATTCATGTAAATATTTTATAGATACTTAGATGACACTTTTTAGAAATGCTTTTAAATGTTCATTTTGTCTAATTTTATAGACAATGCGTGCTAACTAGAATTTAGAAGTGTTGGATTGACTATGAATGAATTTTAATTTATGTTGGGTTAAAATTTCAGATTCTATCCT